TCTCTGACAAAAACTCGCTCTCCAGTAGAAAATAATAGAAAAAGTAATGAATTGAATTACTGAAGATACAAAGAAACCCAAGAATTGTATAAACAAACATCTATATGATACTTTGCCATCTCTATATGATAAAAGATGTGGCTCTGTAAAACATGAATGGAAAAGGCTCTCTGACAAAAACTCGCTCTCCAGTAGAAAATAATAGAAAAAGTAATGAATTGAATTACTGAAGATACAAAGAAACCCAAGAATTGTATGAACAAACATCTAACTTCCCGAGCTTGTAAGATCTAGCTGAGAACTTTTCGCAGATTCAAGCAGTCGTCTTGTAGGAAATATTTTGACAATACCCTGCCGGCTATATTAGAAATGCCAATACGGATTCCAACATACTTAGGAGCAATATCCATGTGAAGGACCCACCTTTACGCTGTTCATAAGTGGATTCTACCTCATTCGACATACTACAACCTGCAAGGCCACATGGACTTCTTAAAGCATGTTTCATTAAGCAATAAAATATTCAAATGCAAATGCTAGTACTAGCTTAAAACGATCAAGTTGAAATTCTATAGAATTGATTTGGATGAAATTGAGTTCTCCCATTTAAATTTATTTTTGGCACTACCAATTCCAAACATATTTTGTGCTATCAAACAACAGAATTGGAACTGTTGTGCCCAATTTCAATTCTATAGTTTGAACTCCTCTTCGAATAAGGAATGGGTTGCACCACTTACACGGAGTAAGCTCAGACTTTAGAAGCTAGCAAGGGACCCTCCTTTTTTGATCTTTTCTTTTCATTTGTTTTCTGCTTGGTTATGAATGGAACATGTTATAAACCATGTTGATGGTGAGGCTTTTGTTCAGTACAACACAACATAATAGAACAAATTTATTGAATTGGGTGCCTGAAAACCTGTTAGAATCATGTTAATTTAATTTAGCCTCATTATATTGTATTTCGCTTTTTGTTTTCGGATGTTTACTTTTGTTTGTATCACCTCTCTTGGGTATTTGCTAATTAGGCAAATTCTTTTGTGGATTTAAGGTTCATCCTTATTTTATGGATCTTAATGCATTTGTAACATAAAAAAATGAGCTTTTGAAAAAAAATCCACATGTAAGTCTATAAAAAATGTGAAAAGGTCTATATTTTAAATGTGGACTTTGAGGTTATATAAGCATTACTCTTCTTATTATATTGCAGAGTAACTTTTTTATTGGCTAGATAAGACCATATCAGATCAGAAACAACTTTAACTATAATTACAAATAGATCAAACCAGATTATATCAAACCAAATCTTTGAATAATTAGATCAGATCACATCAGACAAATGGAACGCATCCTTAGCAATGTTTATGTTTGGATCACGTGCAGAATCGAGTTTCTTTAAAAACTGTTTATTTACAAATTTGTATTGAAATAAAATGTAATGAAATTTATTAAATTGTACAAAAAAACTATGTTAAATGTTCTACAAAAGAAGATGTGACAAGAATTTTTTATTTGTATATCTAATAATCAATGAAAATGTGCAAAAAAAGTATTGAGAGATTATAATATTAACAGTACAAATTATTTTAGTACACATGAAATATAATTTTCTTTCGTGCAACGTGCGGGCTAGAATCCAGTCTAACTATATACAAGAGAAAAGAAAGCAGTTATAGTAAACACAGTAACAAAAAAAATTACTCAGGGATAAAAGTAGTCAATCAGTAGCCTCCACACAATTCCTCTCCTTTTTAACTCGTGATCGTCTTCATAACAACGACTCATTTCTTTCTCCTTCCCAAGCGGATGACTTCACTCTACCACCGGTTTTCAATAACCTACTTGACTATACGTATCTTTTCGTTCATGGTTATAGGGCTCTCTGGTTGGAAAGGTGACGAAGATCCTTTCCAAGAGTTGATGATGGAGAAGGTGGAAATAACTTCAACGAAAGTTGGCACCAGAGTTTCATCATCTTCGGTCGGCCAAATTCAGGCATGAGGACGGGGGCTTAAAAACATAAGCTACCCTCCGGTTTTTGCAGACCAACACCTACACCAATGACAACTACGAGACTTCTTCAAGGTATATCCTAAACTTAGGGGCCTTCCTCTTCCTTTTATGTTATTTCATTTTTTCCCAATGCCCATGGTATTTCAATTTTAGTTATCACTTACAAATTTGACGAATTCAAAACCATTCCAAGAAAATTTTACAGATTTACTTACAAACTGCATCTAGGCCACCATATAAATAAGCAAGAGTGGGAGTTTCCCATTAGAATGTGACGATCGCATCAATGTCTACATTAGAGCAGAAACTTTAAACTGCTCATAGCCTCATACTACTGTTATTTTAGAAAAATAGACAACCCAAAGTGTAGAGTATGAAGCATCTCACTTACTGGTCTACTTCAAAGCTATATATCATTGTACTAGATCTTTTCACCTTAAACACGCCACCAAGAAGACCTTAGCCAAATTAGAATTAAGTGATATGTCTTCGGGCTTCTTGTGGCGCAGAGCAATATCAAGGCGTAATGGTTTTCCAGAACAAGGCAGACCAGTAATTGCAGCAAAATCTACCGGGCTTATTGTCCACTCTTCGATTGGAAGATGAAAGGTGTGAGCGGTACATGGTAGTCAAGATCGCGATTTGAATCGTACCATCTCACGATTTTGCAGATCATTTTATGCTTTGCGATTTGAATCGCGATGAGGATTGCAACACAATCAGAACTCTTTGGATCGCCAATTAAGAGCGTAAGATCGCAGAATCGTAAGGGATCCGCGATAGAAATTAGAAAGTTTTTCAATTACGATATTTAACTGGAATTATTTTCAAGTCAATATGAGTAAGAATTGATATAGTACAAAAACAAAAATTAAATATTATCAATGTTAGAATATAGTATTTAGAATAGACTATCTAATGACAACTTTTAAATGTAGTGTTTTTCAAAGGGAATTTACAATTTAAAAAGAGAGAAAAAGAAAGATTTGTAACATTGTTCCCGTGCATTTATTATCTATCCTCAAGGCTGTACCCCGTACGATTCCACGATCCCGAGCAATTAATCACAAAACCTTCTCAGAAAAAGATGTGCTACCCCGGGTGGTGGAACGACGTTGTTTCTTGGTCGATTGAGTGAACTGGGCATCCCTTTGTCTCACCACAACATAAAAACATTTCCACCAACAACATCCACTTTTTGTTGAAATTGCTGCAAAACATCACATTACTTGGCCATTTATATGAAGCAGATAGATAATCAAGAAAGTAAAAAGACTTGCCTCTTCACCAGCAAGCTTCGCAAAGGCCTTAGACACCGTCACCGTCACCAGTAAATTATCCCTAGTAAAGTCCGTATAATAGTGTTGATCAACACTATAAAGGAAATTCGTGGCTTTAAGCCCATCAAAAGCACCCGCAACATCAAAGTCCATCCCGGCCAAGCACATGTTAACTAGTGGGGGATGTGGCACTCTACGCTGATTTGGGGGGAAACGACAATCCCACGCCTCCCCCCCCCCAAATAGTATCGACAGCTCCAAGCATTGGGATGAACAATCTCATCCCTGCTTTCTCCATTGAATCTCTCATGGCGTTAGACCACTAACTAACATCCTCGTCCCATGGTTGAGCACAAATCTGTCAAGATTAAGGACACGCATATGATTCATGCTCAATCACAACACACCAGACTAAGCACGCAAATAAATGAATAAATGAAGTTGCTTACGTCACTATATCAGATGTAACTAAGTTCCTAGCGTGCAACTCCAAAGTCGAGAGTCTCTTCAGAGCGGCCCACAGCCCACGGGTAACCCACATCATGAGCTTGTGAACTAGATAACAGAGAATACTCATATGTGTACACATGTACAAGCACACAATTCATTTAAGTGAATTCTAAATAATCAATAGTAGAATGAATTGATAAGTGCTTAAATTTTACAAAAATTACCTCAAGAGCCTGCGCACACCCAACGATCTTATCAGCACCGCGACAAACCGCATCTAGGCCACCATATAAATTAGCAAGAGCGGGAGTTCCCCAATCGAATGTGACGATCTCATCAATGTCTATCGTGGAGGGCAGAAACTGTAAATTGCTCATATTATTATTCTAGTAAAGTAGACATGCCAAAGTTTAGAGTATGAAGCATCTCACGTACTGGTCTATTTTGCGCTTGTTGGATGGATTTTTTCTTTGCTCACATGAAAGTTGTATATCATTGTACGAGATCCCACCATAACCTTTCACTTTAAACATGCCACCAAGAAACTCTTGAAGCAAATTGGAATTAATTGATCCATCTTTAGGCTTGTTGTGCCATGAAACAATATCAAGGCGTAATGGTTTTCCAAAACAAGGCAAATAAGTAATTGCAACAAAATCTATCGGGGTTATTGTCCACTCTTTGATTAAAAGATGAAAGGTGTGAGTAGTATCACTCTACCATTGAGCAAGTGTGGACAATAACCCACAATTACCCTTAAAATGATTTGTCTTGGTGCAGATAACAAGATCTTACGATCCGAGTTACAATCTTTTATAAGCTTAGCAATCCTACGTAGAATCTCGAGTTTGACTACCTTGGAGCAATATCAATCCACCTTTGAGGAAGTGTGGACAATAACTCGAAATTATCCTTAAAATGATCTGTGTTGATGCTGATAACAAGATGTAGCAATCCTGTCTTTGTGATCTTTTTTCTTGACGCGCCTTGTGCATTTTTCATAAAATTTGTAAGGCCAGGTGAAGTTGCCCGTAGTTTTCACAGGGCCTTACAAGTTTTATGAAAAATGCCCAAGGTGCGTCAAGAAAAAGATCACTAGGACAGGATTCTTAGATCTTGTTTTCTGCAGCAAGACAGATCATTTTTTAGGGTAATTGTGGGTTATTGTCCACACTTGCTCAATGGTGGAGTGATACTGCTCACACCTTTCATCTCCCAATCAAAGAGTAGACAATAACCCCAATAGATTTTGCTACAATTACTGATTTGCCTTGTTTTGGAAAACTATTACGTCTTGATATTGCTTCGTGGCACAACAAGCCTGAAGATGTATCAATTAATTCTAATTTGCTGCAAGAGTTTCTTGGTGACATGTTTAAAGTGAAAGGTTATGGTCGGATCTCGTACAATGATATACAACTTTTATGTGAGTAGAGAAAAAATCTATCCAACAAGCGCGAAATAAACCAGTATGTCAGATGCTTCGTACTCTACACTTTGGCATGTCTACTTTACTAGAATAATAGTAGTTTACAGTTTTTGGCCTCCACGGTAGACATTGATGAGATCGTCATATTCGATTGGAGAACTCCCGCTCTTGCTTATTTATATGGTGGCCTAGATGCGGTTTGTCGCGTGCTGATAAGATCGTTGGGTGTGCGCAGGCTCTTGAGGTAATTTTATAAAATTTAAGCACTTGTCAATTCATTCTACTATTGATTATTTAGAATTCACTTAAATGAATTGTGTGCTTGTACATGTGTACACATATGAGTATTCCCTGTTATCTAGTCCACGAGCTCATGATGTGGGTTACCCGTGGGCTGTGGGGCGCTCTGAAGAGACTCTTGACTTTGGAGTTGCACGCCAGGAACTTAGTTACATCTGATATAGTGACTTAAGCAACTCTTTTTATTCATTTATTTGCGTGCTTGGTGTGGTGTGTTGTGATTAAGCATTAATCATATGCGTGTCCTTCCTAATCTTGACAGATTTGTGCTCAACCATGGGACGAAGATGTTAGTTAGTGGTCTAACGCCATGAGAGATTCAATGGAGAAAGCATGGATGAGATTGTTGATCCCAACGCTTGGGAATTGTCGGTACTATTTGGGGGGAAGCGTGAGATTGTCGTTTCCCCCCAAATCAGCGTAGAGTGCCACATCTCCCACCAGTTAACATGTGCTTGGCCGGCATGGACTCTGATGTTACGGGTGCTCTTGATGGACTTAAAGCCACAAATTTCCTTTATAGTGTTGATGAGTACTCTTATACGGACTTACTAGGGATAATTTACTAGTGACGGTAAGGCCTTTGCGGATCTTGCTAGTGAAGAGGCTAGTCTTTTTACCTTCTTGCTTATCTATCTGCTTCATAGAAATGACAAAGTAATGTGATGTTTTGCAGCAATTTCAACAAAAAGTGGATGTAACTGGTGGAGATATTTTTATGTTGTGAGACAAAGGGATGCCCACTTCACTCAATCGACCAAGAAAGGACGTCGTTCCATCACCCAGGGTAGCACATCTTTTTCTGAGAAGGTTTTGCAGTTAATTGCCTGGGATCAGTTGCTCGGAATCGTACGGGGTACAGCGTTGAGGATAGATAATAGATGTACGGGAAGTATGTTACAAATCTCTCTTTTTAAATAGTAAATTCCCTTTGAAAAACACTACATTTAAAAGCTATCGTTAGATATCAATTAATTTTTGTTTTTTTTACTATTGATAATATTGTTCCACTACATTGATAATATTTAATTTTTGTTTTTTTACTATATCAATTCTTACTCATATTGACTTGAAAATAATTCTTGTCAAATATCGTAAACTACAAACATGAGCAATTGCCTTTAAATGATACTCCCTCCGTCCCAAATTATTATGCCTATTTACTATTCACAGGGTCAAACTTCATTCACTTTCTTTCTCTATTTTCGTTCGCAATTTGATAAAATAAAATATTATTGTCACTACTAATTTTGTAGATCTTTTGATGTAGTTTTTTAATATGTAATTTTTATTTTTTAATTCTATGCCATTTGTCATATAAAATGGTTTGAAAATAATTTCAGTCAAACATCGTAAACCGAAACAGGCGCTATAAAATGGGACGGAGGTAGTATTATTACTTTATGTGTCTCCCAATTTAAGGTTCGTGTAGATATTCTTCTTTTCATTTATAATATGTTTACATTTTATTTCTTTAATTACTTAATATGTGTGTCACAATTTAAGGTTCCTGTAGATATTCTTCTTTTCATTTATATATTTACATTATCTCATATCAATTTCATGTTTATATAACCTATATATTGTTAATTTTGTCTAATGAATATTTTCCATTTTTGTCAGCTATCTATTGTTAAATTTTCATTTCAACAATTACATGGTTAAATTTTAATCTTTTATACTCTTCCTGCAAGGATTTGAAATTGGATTCTATCTTTTTTTTAGTTTACATGTAGTGGCTACATATTTCAATCTTTTCCATTTCAATATGTGATAAATAATATTTTATTTTCCGAAAACTAAAACATTGCCTACACATATTGGACAATTTGTAAAGAGATTTTTTATTTTTTTATTGAAATTGTTTTTAGACTTAAATTTTTACTTCATTCAAGTACTTTTATTGATATGTTATGCTATTATTCTCTACTTTCACCTAATTAATTATGACAATAAATTTCATAGTTTGAATTTCATATCAAACAGAGTATAAATATGGTTTTATCTTTAGGTCATGCTTCTAGCTCCTCTTGGTGAGATGTTGAAGGCCTCTTCGAATAAGGAATGTTAAGTATAAATATAACGGAGACACTATAAACAATGTGAAATACTATACATTTTAAATGTGGACTTTGAGACACTATAAGCATTACTATTCCTATTATATTATGGAGTAACTTTTTTTATTGACTAGAACAACTCAGAAACAATTTTAATTATAAATATAACCAAATCAAACTAGATCTTTAAATAATCAAATTAGATCAGATTAGGCGAATGATCTGCAGCCTTAGCCATGTTTATGTTCGAATGACGTGCAAAACCCAGTTTCTTTAAAAAATAGTTTACTTGCAAATTCGTATAAAAATAAAATATACAGATTTCATAAACTATATTAAGTTGTACAAAAAAGTTATATTAAATATTCTACAAAATAAGATATAACAAGAAATTTTTATTTGTATATCCAATAATCAATAAAAATGTGCAAACAAAAATATTCAAGAGACTAATATTAACTATATAAATTATTTTGGTACACATAATACTCTTTGTCCCGAAATGTTTGTCAATTATTTATTAAAAAAAATATTTTTGACATTTCTTATTTTGAAAAATTTTCATGTAATTTTAAAAACGTAAATCTATAACATTTAAATAAAATGAATTTAGAAAAATTGATATTTTGCCTCGTTTTTTACAATGTCGTAAACATTTAGGGACAAAGAGTAATTTTCTTCCCGTGCAACGCGCAGTTTAGAATCTAGTTTTTTGGAACACAAACATTATTTTCAAATATGAACTACAAATCAAAATTATTCAGTGACTTCATAATATCCAAAATAGAACTATTTGAAGATTCGCTCAATCAAATAGATACATATACGTAATTACATTTGAAAATATAACGAAAACTAATCACTACTATTTACATTCTTATTCATCTTTTCTCAATACGAATCACTATCTCCAAATGCAAAAATGAATTCAATCAAAAGCATTCGTTTTGTTACAACCGTACACCCAGATAAAGCTCATATAACCTTCCCGAATCGAAGGTAATGACACACCAATTCACAATTCACATTACCTACCTAAGATAAACTTGTGTTCCCTCAAGCTAGCCAGTCAATAAGACAGATACTTTTTTTGTTTATCATAATGAATGGCATAAAATAACGTACCCAAAGCTCTGCATTCGCTTGTTAATCTCGAAAAAAGTTGTTCCCTCGAACCAAAAGGAATGAAATTTGGCTGATTCTGCATTCGCTTGTTAATCTCGAAAAAAGTTGTTCCCTCGAACCAAAAGGAATGAAATTCGGCTGATTTTCTCATGACAACGAGCGTCGTTCCCTGCTCAAAATATACTCCACTGCCTCTTCCACAGTGTCTACAACCTATGTTCATGGAATGGAAGAAAGGTGTTCCACATTTAGTTGGTATTTAATGACACAAAGAACTAAAACTAGAAAATGACACAAAGGACTAAAACTAGAAAATGACACAAAGTTAATGTGAACATGCAATGGAATTTCAAATAGGAATGTGAAAGGCTAGGAATGAGAAAGATGTTATACAGAAACGTAAGAGAAAAATATCACTTTCCAAATTGCTGGAATGATCCATATCTGCACTATCCTCCGAGCTCTTCATCCAACCCCTCCAACCAAACAAGGTCTTAGTAAATAAACAGCATGGGTTTTATAAAATAAACATTGTTTGGTCGAGGAGGGATAAAATAAAAAATGAGATTTTTATGTAAAATAAATAAATTATTGTTGAGCCAAATGAGAATCCCTCTCCCCCCACCTCCAACCAAACACATCTTAAAGAGGGATAAGATGAAGAGCGCATACACATGGGTACTTTGCAGGATATATATACTCGTATATTATTGCAAAGCGTGAATGCGCAATAATGCCAAGGAAAACAAAAATTAACTCACATGATCTGCTGGAAAATCGGTGTCATTGGCATTTCCCTTGAAAACTCCTGTCCTTGTCAAAATTGAGAACCAAGGATTTCCCGCCTGAAAAAAGTGTGAGATTAAATACAGAAAAATGGATAGAGGTATTAGTTCATGTGTGTGAGGAGTCTTACGGGTATGTGCGAATCCTAAAGAAATTTATTCGAAAAAATAAAAGGAAAATGAAAACTGATTAATACTGAGTAAATTTTCGAAATGGACCCTACATGTTGGTGTCAAAACTCAAGGAACAAACCTGCCGAGCTCCTTTGATATCTACAGATGGATTATCTCCAACCATGTACAAGGTTTTGAAGGGATGCATTTCGCGGCTTGTTTCCTGATGATGTGGTGACTTAAGTTGCATCAATGTTGCTTCAGCCTGTTTAAACACAGAGGAGTTTGGTTTCCCATATGATGTATATTCCAGAGGCTTTGGGTGAATGCTGTGGAAGAGAAAAAAAACAAAGAAAAGATATGAAAATCGCCCTAGCTATGAGATTATTTTCTGCACCACCTAAAGGAAATGAGACCATGTAAGAATTATGAAATTTAAAATTTTCATTGGGGAAAATTTTTCCAAAGCCTCATGCAGAAAAAAGAAAGCCGATTTTGCCCAAACTAGAATTAAGCTACTCCCTAACTATTGGTGGACCCTTACCTATTAAATACAGATTCTAGTGCGACTCGGAAGGCACCCATTCCAAGACGTTCAGAGGGAAATAAAGCCTGGCATCAAAGCACTCAATATAAGAGCTCAGTTGAATCATAATACTTGTAATTTACATGCCTAAAAACACATGTATGAATGAACAGATTTTATTTTTTGCATTAACATATATTCATAATAAGAAACCTGATAAGCAAGGTCATCACTGGCAAAAAAGATAGGCGGTTGGTGTGCAATCTCTCTTCCCGGTTGGCCTCCGGTCCTTAAAATATCACAAAGAACCTGGAATTGACACATAATTCCAGCAAAGACTATAAATAAATGAATGCAAGCAGATGTTTCAAAAAAATATAATGAATGCAATCAAAAAGTGTGAATCACAGTAGATGGGGAAAATGAAGAGAAATATTGCTCTGCTAATAATAAGTTGAGTATTTGCCTTATGATGTGAATTCTGCTACAAGATAAAATATTTAACAAAGCTGATAGTAATAGTCCATCTTTTTCAGAAGAATTGAGAAGAAACAGTAAGAAAGGCTTTTGGTAACCACGGACTATGATGTGAATTTCCTCAGAAGAGAATATTAATCAAAGCTCATTGTAAAAGTTCCCTCTTTTCAGAATAATTAAAGAAAAAAATAGTACTATGTACGGATGCTTTTTGCTAACTGGTGTCTAAACTATTGATACTTTGAGCATTTAGCTCGTGTTGTGGATTTCCTTAGAAGAGAAAATATTTAGCAAAGCTGATAGTAAATGTCCCCTTTTTCACAAGAACTGTTTAGGAATAAAGAACTCTAAGAATGTCTTTTGTTGATTGGTACCAAAGTTTTCGAAGCAAAAGAATGGGAAAGGAATATATCATTTATGAAGTTGTACACACCGAGAGAAAACTATAAAAATATACCTGAATATCCCGGCTCCAATCAATTGAATCGCTAACAACGAAGACAGCCTGGACCCTCTCTGAACATGGATCTTGTCTCGAAGTGACTTTATCATGGAACTGTTTGTCTGCCCACTTCTTGTATTGTGCCAATGGGTCAATATTCTCAAAAAGTGATGCATATTCATCAATTGAGAGGACATTTCTGAAGTTAAGCGCGTAAGTCAAGTTAACCAGTGGCAAAGCATAGAACAGAAGAAAGCTAAACTTGTCAATTGACAAACAGAGCGGATGAAAACTGAAAGTCTTACTTGAATCCATAATCAGACATTACTTCAGCAGGTTCACCTTTTCCAACAGCAACAATGAATTCATTCTCAAATCTGCAATATAAATACAAAAGATGATGAAATCTACCAAACGAAATATTGTTTTTCAATAAGGTGAATTTGATGTATCATTATCGAAGTTCGTTAGTTTTCCTTTTCGCTTTTCCCCTCTACCACTCCCCTCAATGCACACAATTTTTAACTTCAACTTCTTATTGCATGCCCATTAATGTCTTCGTGAATATTGTATTGGTTTACTATACCTCATATTAGCTAGGAAGTTCACACAATTTAGTGATATATAATAAGCTGGTTGTCATCATTGATGGGTTGTAGATGAAACAAGAAGTTAACAAGAAGCAACTGCATACCTTTTCACCAATTGTTTGAAAGGAGTATGGCCCTGTATAACCTGCACCGCATTGAAGTTGAGAATAACAAAAAGCACAAAGACAGTTGAGGATTGAATACCCGACGACAGTATTTCCCTAAAAGAAGAAATTGCAAGAGTAAGAGAAACTGATCAAGTACAACACAAAATTGCAGTTGCAACTTGCAAGGAACCCAAACAACTACACCTGTGAGGCTAGGACATTGTTCCCCAAAAATCTGGTCAGCTCCCTTGCTCTCTTAAGTTCAGGAACACCACCTCCTATTGAATAAAACTATTGATACTCAATTTTAAAAAAACCAAGATCTTTTTAATTTGAAGAAAATTGATACTCAATTTTAAAAATATTGAGTACAATTTTCTTCAAATTAAAAAGATCTTGGTTACTTTTAAAATTCCAAACCCCTATTTCTTAAAATTAATGGCGTAAAATTAATGTATATTTGGAGGAATCCTGGAATATATTTTAAAAATGTGAAGTACCCGATAGTTAATTCTCAAAATAGAGGGTACCTCGGAGTATATTTTAAAAATGTGATGTACCCGATAGTTAGTTTCTCAAAATAGAAGGTACCTCGGAGTATATTTTGAAAATGTGAGGTACCTGACAGTTAGTTTCTCAAAATATGGGGTACCCAGGAGCAGTTTTCTGCAATAAAACTATAAAACTGTTTTAATTTATGTTATTATTTCTCCATCTCTTTTTTAATATCTTTGTATGTATGCTATTTCACACTTTTTATTTTTATTCTATTATTTTTGTTATTATAAAAAATTAATATTGAATGTATAACAAATACTTAAATAATAAGGCGATGCTCTTGTTGTATGAACCACTAGAATTAAGCTAAACATTGATTAAAATCAATTTAATGATTTATGCAGCAAGATGAAGCTGTCACTTTTATAAAAGAAAATATAAAGAAGGTGCTAAGTACTGAACATGTGATCCTGTACCCTGTATCTTCACGGTGCGCTCTTGAAACTAAGCTTTCAGCTTCTTCTGACATTCTGAAAGATATTAATGGCCAATCCTTGGATGAGTCTCTCTTGAAATCTACAAGTTTCTTTGAACTTGAGAGGTACTTGTATAGCTTTCTGGATGCCTCAACAAGTACAGGAATTCAACGAATGAGACTTAAGCTTGAGACACCGGTTATCATTGCAGAGCAGCTGCTTTCATCCTGCCAAACTTTTGTGAGTGAAGAGTGTGAGATAGCAAAAAAATGATTTATTGTGTGTGAATGATCTTATTGATGGTGTAAAACACTGGAAAAAGAAAGTGGAAAATGAAAGCTTATCCTGGAAGAGGCAAATTCTCTCTGTGGTATGACCCTCATTCCATATTAATGACTAATATTCCCTTATTTCTTAATTCTTTAGGTATGCTTTTATCAAAACACCTCTTTCTTTTCTGTGACTTGCTGCCTTGTGAAAATTCAGATTGACACTACACAGGCACGTATAGTCCAGCTTTTAGACAATACTCTACGGCTGTCGAACCTTGATCTTGTCACTGGATATGTATTTAGAGGAGAAAAAACTACTCAAATGCCAGCTACAGTAAGTGTCAAAAATGACATAATTGGTCCAGCAGCTTTTGAAGCAGAAGTGAGTGATACTCTTTTAAGTATACATTGTCCGATGTTTAATCCACTCTTGCAATTATGTTGAAGAAAAATTTGAGGGATCTGGCTGCTCTTAAAGCTTAAAGTTGGATTCCTGAGGTTTTGGCTAGTGAGTTTATACTCACAAGTCACAATTAGGTTGCAGAAACAAGATTTTCCATGTTTTGGTATTGTTTACTCTGGATGATACTCTTGCCCAAGCACATTTCCAAAATCTAAACCTGTATATCTGTGTCTAGAATACTTTGGAACTTTATGAAGTTATGTACTTGCGGTGTTATGTTTAATATTGAGTACTCACTAAACATCAAGCAAGACAAGCATATAGCTTATGAGTAAAATTTCCAAAAAAAACGCAATATATGTTCATATAAATCATGATTGATGGAGTAACTCTCTATTACTTTTGTTATCAAAGGGAATTGGAGTCGTTGAAAACTAGGTATTTTCTGGCGAATGTATAGTGTATTATAGGTATGTTAGTAAAGATTTTGTGGTGTGTAATCTAGGTTTTTATAAAAAAAGAAACTGATCTGATTTTAGTGGTTGAACAATGCTCATACGCATACACCATGTTCCATGATGTGTGTTGATTCTATAAGAGTCAACTTGCAGCAAAAAGGGATCTGACTATAGCCGCTATCTCAACTCATCTCATACTGTAGGGGATGCCAATGGGTCAAGTGGAATTGAAATGAATATATGGAATGGAATCAGGCCAACTGCCCTATCTTATGTTCCCGGCATAGCTACTTTTCACAGGGGAATCAGCTGTGGAGTTGGCGCTGTATTTTCTGGCATGGTGGCCTGCAAACAGTAACATGGGAGGGGAATGCTATTGGCAGAAGGAGAACGGAAAGGATAAAGTGCTTTGGAAGGGTTGTTTTATTAGCACCGTAACAATCTTTTATTAATTTTCCAAAACTCCATGATAAGATGTTTAACTATCCTTATATAGAGCCTTACACCTAACCTGCTTAGAAACAGAAAGACAAATCAAATAAAACCTACATAGAAACAGAAAGACAATTTAAAATTACTTGAGGAGAGGAGTAATTATGAAATAGGAACATAAACATATATTGCCTAATTGGGGGTTTTCTTCTACTGCTTGTTCTTTTTTGCGGACCCCATCTGAACTCTGCCTTTTTTTGCACCAGTTGCGTGTGAATGCATCATCCCGTGCTTGTTTTCCCCCCATATGAAATGCGGATAGTCTCTTTTGGAAGTCAGCAATCTGCTGTGAGAAATTTCAAGAATCTCTAGTTGCATATCCTCTTCTTGTATCCTGAGGTCTCCTATTAAGTGTGCTTTATTCATTTAGTTTATTTTTACTATTGTCAGAACTGTGTAATTTTTGTTCTCTTGGGTGCATGTTTCGTTGCATTACAATTTCCAATCACTGGCATTTCCCTTGGTACTTTGTCGACTTCTTGCTTTTAGTGAAAAAGAAAGATTGATGTGGGCAGAAAGATTGCCCCAGCTCATCAAGAACTAGCCTCTGCTCTCCTCCCGCATTTAAGAGTTCACAAAAGTACTCCCCCCAGCGCTTAGCCACCTTGGCAGTCTCAACTAACACTCTACCATCGCTGCCCTTCACGCAACGCACGTGGTCCAGATCTTGGGCCTTCCTCTCACGCACTTTAGCAAGCCGGAACAGTGTATTAACACCGCCTTTCTCCTCAATATCCTTGTAGAGGCGTTCAAAAGCGGCATTCTTTGCCCTTGTAACCTCTAACTTAGCTTCTTTACGTACCTTCTTGTACTCCACTCGTAACGCCGCTCTTTCTTCCTCAACATTGCAGCCCATGTACCTCAAATATGCCACCTTCTTAGCTTCCACCTTACTCTGGACTGAATCGCTCCACCACCAATCACCCTGCCGCCTACTCCCTGAGCCAGAGCTCACACCAAGCACTTCCCTGGCAGCTTCCCTGATGCAGTTAGCAGTCTGCGTCCACATATCAGCAGCCTCTCCGGCCGATTCCCACGCCCCTTTCTCCTGCACTCGCCTGATCAACTCAGAGATATTCTCCCCACTTAGTCTCCTCCACCGGATGTGTGCGTTGCCACTCGAAACTCTCCTATGTTTCACCCACCTGATCCTGACATCCATCACCAGAAGCTTGTGTAGGGTGGTGATGTTTTCACTC